TAAAGATTTGAACTTGAGAATTAGCAGCTATAGTAGCACAGTGCATGTACAATGGAGAATAATAGAATAACTCACTGTAGTGCCATACCATCACAATTAATGTTAGTTTATATAATTTACATTTTAAATATTTAACTCTTAAATATAACACTAAACCAATCTAAACAAAGTTTTTTCAAAATTCATACCATCATTTTGATGCGACAGCATTGAATTTTGAAGTTACATCGCATGTCAGGCAGTGCAAATATCATACGGCCAAAAACAACTTTTAAAAAGTAAATATATATATATATATAAACAGATAAAAAATAAAAAGAGTGCTGTTGTAGAGAGGCAACTCTCTTTTAGAATAAAGATCCAATGTATTAAAACTCTATCTCTGTTTTATTTTTTAAAGAGACTTGCATTTTTACATGCTCTTATGGTCCTAAATACATTCCACTCGGTGGAGACTTTTGTTCGTGGAATCTAATAGTTCGATATGCCCCTAGGAAGGCATCAAATTGAACAAGTCCAGAATATAAGCATGCAAATATGTAATGGCAGCTCCTCACAATTCAAAGATTCTACGAAGTACATGTGGATATGAGTTAGGTGCTCTAGTTACACTACAATGTCGAACGTTGCACATCCGTTTCTGAACTAAATTTGGGACACAACAAATGGAAAATTTATAAATAAAGCATCAATGGGAGTAACAAGGAACTGTATCTTTACATTAGAGCTCCTAGTGCCCATGATATCTTTCATTGAGTTAAATCAAGTAATAATTAACCCATTACCAAATACCGAGTAGACTCCAGACATTGCGAACTCCTCAAAGAATCAGCAAAAAGAAGTTTCTTTATCTGATCTGAAGCAAGGTGTAGTAGAGACTAGAGAGCATGCTCGCAATTCTTACACCTTTAGTATGCGTCAGCCAGAATTTCACGCATTTAATCTAAAGCAACAAGTGTACAGCAGTCAAGCTGCTTCCTAGAGGTCTTGGGCGTGCTGGGTGTCTGTGATGCTCACTGCACTTTTGCAAGAGATCGGCTGGACACACCATGTAACAGTTTTACAAACCCAAGAAAGCTTAGCTTCCCATCATCATGTCTTATCCAGTCATTGAGAACAGCATGAACTGGGATAGATGGACCAAGCCCAAGTTCCTGAAACAGCAATTTTCACAGAAGTTATAGATTTTAGTAATAATTAGCAAGCCTACTTTGTTCTCCAAGAACTAATTCACCAGGTGCACACTTTTAACTAGAGAATAGTAATTGAGCGCAAAACATTAATAGCTATACTTTTTCCATGCTTCAGATTAATTATTTCATTTGTTGCTACTTTGGTTCAAATCTATCAGATCATAAGGGATACTCTAGTATCTAGGAAAAACTATAAACTTACCGAGGCAAGTTCCTCAATGACAATAGCCCTGTTTCCATCTTTCTCAAAAAGCTCATATGCAAAACGAACATGTTGTTCCCAGCTAGCAAGTGCCTCAAGCTGATGGACACTTAAAGCAGCTGCACAAAATTCTTCAAAATCCATTCTTCTGTATTGAAGTGTATTTAGCTGCCATGCAATGCAAGTCAAGGGACATGTATAAGGTATGGTATACAATCACAGAGTAACAAAACATCTACATAAGCAAATACTAATGGAGTTTGTACTGAGGCAAGAAAATCAGGGATGCGAGACTCCTTCATTGCATCGGTGGCATGTTTCATCAGTGCCTTCATTGAACAATATGAATTAATTAGAACAATTGCATTATATAGTAAAACTATGTCAATGAAGCAGAGAGAAAACAAACCAACCATCCTAATGTTCTCTAAGGTTATGCTGCCATTTTTAGGCTCTAAAAGTGCAAACTGCTCCTTCAAGTAAAAGATTTCCTCAAAAGTCAATGTCTTAGACAATGCCTGCTAACATGCAAAAATAAGATCATTAAAAGCTAATAGAAGTTAAATACGTGTGATCAACTCTCTCTTCCAGTGAGTAATTTCCATGAATCAGATCATTCCACATTGACAATAATAAATGACAAACTGATGTACATGAACCTTAAAACTAGTTTTATCTGCAATTAATTTTTCAGGCTTCAGTTCTTAACATAAAAAAAAAAAATGACGAGTTTTATTCAATTGACAAAATCTGTTTGATTTTTGAGATGAGGAGGGATCCACTTACACACAAGTCTTGCACACCATACTTACAAAATCTCAACCATTTATCTCTCCATTTTCAATTGTTGAGATTTATCATGACTTTTTATATGAAAAAAATAATTATCTTTAATTTATCTTTAATAAATGTGAATAAATCTTAACTATTGAAAGTTGAGAGAAGATGGTTGAGATTTTGTGTAAATGTAATGTGTAAAACTTGTAAGTGGATTCCTACTCTTTTGAGATAATGAACTCAATAAAGATAAAAAAATAAAATTTAGAATCCCAAAGTTCAATAAAAATTTTGACTAGTTGCATAATCATTGTAAAACAAAGTATGTACATAAGCAGAGATTCTTTTTAACAAAAAATGGTATGTAAGCAGAGTTTAAGGATATAAAGAATATAGGCATGTACACACCCTTAAAGCAGCCTTGCGCAAAGATGAGGATCGCATATATGTCTTCATGAGTCTAAAAATCAAAGTATCAAGAGGGATTTTTATGTTATTATTACAATTCCGAATCCAGGGATGACCTGTAAACATAAGGCTAAACTTAGTTAATCAAGCCAACAATAGCAGAAATTAAACTAGATCAGAGAAAATGAAGCACTCACTTAAAGCCTGAGCAGCCGTCATCCGTTTTCGAGGATCCTTATTTAATAGGCCCTTGACAAAGTCCTTAGCTTCCAAAGACAAGGAAGGCCAAGGCATTTCTTCAAAATTCGGATCAGCTTTTAATACTGCCCGAAAAATTCCAGACTCAGTCCTGGCCCAGAATGGACGGCTACCACATAAGAGAATATAGGCTATCACACCTATACTCCATACATCAGCTTCTGTACTATAAGATCTATGAAGCACTTCAGGGGCAACATAATATGCACTTCCAACAATGTCATTAAGCCTTTCATCTATAAGCCATCATTCCCATTTAAAAAGCCATCAGAATCCCCAAGGATAAGGCTGGGCAGAATGAAAATGCTAGTGAATATAGTGGACAAACCTGGTCTAACAAAATCTGACAGGCCAAAGTCTATTGCTTTTAGCTGGGAATTCTCTTCCTTGGAAGTATATAGGAAATTCTGAACCAGGAAATTCATAAATTTAGATTTAATTATTGAAGAACACACTCAAAAAACAAAACTTACAAAGCCAATTCCATCTGGTTATCTACCAAAAAAAAAAAAAGTAAAACGACTAGGTGTTTTGATTTGCAATGAAAAATATTCAAAAATAAAGAGGGATTCTTTTGTCACAATAGCCACTTAAATAAAATTTTCTGCAGCGTGTTTAAGAAAGTAATATATCAAATTAAGTATTTTCTAATGGAAATTACAGAATATTTAACCCTCATCAACTAGGGAAAAGTTGAAATAAGAAAACACAACTGTTTGTTGCATCAATGTGGGTTTGTAATTGAATGAACTATAAAGTTGGGCAGATATGTCATGACTCATGAGAAAGATAAAAGTTTCCCAAGTAGTTAATGACAAAATGAAAAGGTTGCTGGCATTGTGGTAGGCTTGTGGCGCATAGCTAGACTTGGGTAAACACTAAACAGTGGATGATGATGAACATGGGTGGGATTAACTTAGGAGTTAGGATGGCCCTACAAAAGCTTTTGTAACACTATAGGCTTTTGTCCTACAAAGCACTGCTCATTGAAACAATCTACAGTCTAAGATTCAGAAAACCAGGATGCAAAAGAAAAATAGCCCATCTTCTTCCAGTGCCACATTTTCCGAAAAAGTACCTCAGTCAGGTCAATTTCAGAAGCAGAAACTCAAACAAATACTCCAACAACAGCTGCACTACATAATAATTGTTTTAGACAATTTTGCAGTATGTACCAAAATTTTAACAATATAAGTCTGGTTACCCAAAAGAACTTAACAACTGAACAAACAATAAGAATAATATGAGAATAGGCAGTTACCTCTGGTTTGAGATCTCGGTGCACCACACCTTGGAGATGACAAAAACCAACAACACTTAGTATCTGTACCACTACAGCCTTTGCATCGTCTTCTGAGTATTTCCCACCCCTACAAATGAAATACCATCTAGTCAAGGCTACGATGAGGCAGGTTCCGAAGCACAATTAACAATTCTAGAAATTTTCAACACATATAGAAGTTAAAATAAAAAAATAAAAAATAAAAAATAAAACCTTGAGAGTATTCTATCAAGAAGTTCACCTCCTTCACATAACCTGTATATATATTTAAAAAAAAAAAAAATCACCAATCAGACCAGCAGTAAAAAATAACCAGCAGTGAAGCTGCAAGCAAGCATGCCAAAAGCCAGAAGAAAACCACAAGATTGAATATTTATACATTTATCCTTTTCTTAGTAGTCAAAAATAGTAACTGTTCATATTGAACCTTCCAGGAAATAAAAAATTTTCAACAAATGAAAATGGTCCATAATACCAAAACATGATCACATCTTAATTATAGTGGGTATTCCAAGCTTACTCCATCACTATATAGACATTATCATGATCCTCAAATGCATCATAGAATTTCACTAGATTGTTATGTCCTGTTAAGGCTCGCAATATTTTGACCTCCCTTCTCACATCCTCAACTGCAATAGCTGTTGTCATCTGGCCACATAGAGCAATCCATCATGGAGAAAAATACAGAAAAAATAAACAAAAGAGAACTTATAACAAATAAATTGAACAAGATCCCAAAGTATGAACACATTTAGATTGTCAAAATATATATATTAACGCAAAATAAACAAATATGTGTCTTGGCAGAACTATCAGCAAACTAGACATCACTTCATCAACCTTGATTGTGATGACTAATTACCCAGAAATGATCTTTCCTCAGAACAACAAATTTCTATTGAAAATAATAAAACATAATTAAGCTTTAGCTGTTATCCTTATTGGCAGTTGCAAGAATATATTATAGAAAAGCATGACTTCTTTCACATACAAATTTAAATGCATCCCTCTTTAAAGGCAAAAACATTGGAGAAAAAGTTTCAAATTACTAATATTTTTATCAGGTTTATACTATTGCACATTGCTATGAGGAAATCCTTTGACTGGATGTGGAGTAGAGACGATTAAAGTAGGCTTCTTTATAGCAGATAGATATATAGCTCCTTAATCCATCTTGTATAAATGGGTCATTGCCCTTGCTAGATGATCATCTACAGTGGGATTGGTCAGTTCTATAGATGAAAATGACAGTTAATATGTTAATATGAAATATCTCATGTCTGATATCAATCTATCACACAAAAGAATATATATTTCTTTTATGTAAGGTTCAATTCACTTACCCAGGGTATGGAGACTAAGTAAAAGTTGTAGACTAAGCATATAAGTCATCTAGATAGTGGTGTGCTACCCAACCCTCACTCTGGGGCCTTTTCTTCTAGTCTTAAGGATAATCTGGTAATACACAACTAGGCATCTGTAGACTGACTCTACAAATGATCACCATCAATTCATAGGTCCATGTCAAGACGAATCCATCATTCGTTTTTAAAAATTTACTCAGTTCACAACCATTGGACAAGTCCACTTCCTTGATAACTGAGTCTGACAAGTCAATACACGAATTTACTCAGTTCACAACCATTGGACAAGGCCCCTTCCTTCCCTTGATAAATGAATATGAAAGGTCAATAGTTCTGTATCAAGAAAGTGACAGATGAACAAGCCACTAAAAAATTGGTAAACTTACATATCATATTATATTCCCTTCCACCAGGCTACAAACATTCATCTTCATGATGCTAGGCTGCACTTTCAGGGGCAAGATGTTTTTTAGACTTAATAAAAAACCCAGTAAGATGTCAGTGAGCTTAAAATCAAACCAATCAAAGGTCCGGTGGACCCGTGTTCTGATCTTCCCCACCGGCCAAAAAATCAAAAAAGAAACAAGTTGGCCATTTTGTGTTGTCCGGCACTTACAACTCCAAAGAAAAGAATTCTAAAGAATCAAAAGTTATCCCCGATTTTCTCAATCTAGAATTATTCTGAAACAGCATATTGTCCCAAAAATATCTTCAATTCCTCATTTCTCTGATATCCCCGTAACATATTCAAACCAGAGTCACAGCCACTTTAATTGGAACCCACAAACAACAGAAAAAAAAAAAAGGAAAGAAATTTACAATAGATCAACACTATCAAAATAAAAACACACGACCATCAAGCTCTAAGCTTGAAGACTGAAAAGAAGCCTAATTTAGCCGGAATCCACCCGCCGATCACTCCAACCCGATCCCCACCCACCTCCCAGAGAAGCATTTTACACAAAAACATATGCATTGATGCATATTGTCTAATCGTACAGATAACTACAAAATGAGGATTGAGGACTAACCTTGGACTTGGGGATGACCTTGACAGCGACCTGCTGGCCCTTGAACTCACCCTTCTTGAACCTAGCAGAACAAGTATACCCAAAATGCCCTCTCCCCACCTCCTCCCCAACTTCCAATCTACTCCTCAACTCCTTGGAGAACCCAAACCTCTTATCCAACTCCACCAACTCTTCTTCTTCTTCCTCTTCCTCCTCCTCATCCTCCTTCTCCTCTGCAATCCTCGCTTCTTTTTCCTGTTTCCTGCTCCTCCGCCGCCTCAGCACTGCCCGGATATGCTTAGCTGGAGATGGAGGTGGGAACGACTTCCGAAAAAGACGGAGGGGAGTCAACACCGGATGTGAAGGCGTCTTGGCTTTGTGGTGGGCAGGACTGGGCGTATACAGAGGGAGGAAGGGGGTGGCCGGGGGAAGAGGAGGAGGGGGAGGTGATTTGGGAGGCGGGGCGGAGACAAAATTGTTGTCATTCTGGTGTGTGTCTCTGGAGGCATATGGGTTTGGTTTTTGAGGCTTGGAGGTGCAGGTTCCCATCTGCAAATATGATGCTTACGACATTGAAGGATTCTGCTGCAACATTTTGTGTTTTCAGAGAAGAGGAGAGGAAATTTTGGTGTTTAGGTGAAGAAAGTTGGGAAGTTGAAAGCTGAGTAAAGTGAGCTGTAGACGTGGCTAAAGCACACGAGAGTTGACTGTTCATTGAAGAGACAATCAATTGGATTTATTTACCGCTTTTGTCCCATTAATTCATCCTTTTTATTTTACCATTCATTAAAGATATAAAAAAATCTATAAAAAAAATTAGGAAAAATTTATATTTCCTTAAAAAAATAATATCCTATTCGATTAAAAAAATTATTAAAATTATTAAAATTATTAATAAATATCAAATAAACATTTTGAAATTTTTAATAAATTTGTTTAAGATCTTTAATAAATCCAATTATCTTATTATATTATAAAAATTATGAAAATCATCAATAAATCTTAATATATGTTCCCAATAAATCTTTTAAAACCTTCAATAAATTCCTTTAAAATTTTCAATAAACCTTATTATCTTATAATATTATAAAAGTCATTAAAATTATTAATAAATCTCCAATATATACTGAATAAATCTCTTAAAATCTCTAACAAATCCTTCAAAAATATTTATAAAATATCAAATCAATATCTAATGGACCTTTCCTGAGAGTTTAAGGCCCAACTTAAACTTAAGAGTTTAACATTCAAATTCAAAGTATATTACCCCACTTTAATTCCATTTTTAGAGTTTAATTTAAATTATAATTAAGTTTAAACTCAAGTTTTAATAATTATACTCCATCCATTTAACTTTAATAGACTTTATTTCTT